CCGATACGACCTGGAGACCTTCAAAAAAAGAGCTTACTCCTTTCTAAAAGGCCGGCAACGCACCTGCAATTCCCCTGGTGTTGCAGTTGTTCATGGTCGGTGGTAGCCATTTAACATCAGGTGAACCGTATGTTCGTTTGCCCCCTCTCCCATAAAAAAAAACATCAGGTGGACTGTTTGCTTGTTTGTCACCCTCATTCTATTAAAAAAAAACATTTTTAATGTAAACAAGACATTCTATCTTTGTCCTCAAGGGATGACAAAGGATCTGCATTTTCAATATTTATTTATGTCTAGGGTTCATATTATCCTCTTACGAGTACCATATGGTAGACTGACTGGTCGTTTGTCATCATTTTTCAATAAAAACTTACTTGACCAAAAACCTCTCTTAAAAAAAAGTAAAAAGGCCTCAGTAGAAGGACGCATGCAAACTTTAACTATAACAACGTAAAATACTACTAATAAGAAAGACCTCTTCAAACGAGGTTCCAAAAAGAACACATATAATATATATATGTTTTTGACTTATTATGAGCCAGTTGCTGACTTAAATTGGGGTTGTTTGATAGTGGAAAGTGACGGGTTGGGATTCCGATATTGTGACTTCTTAATTATTGGCGATATCCGTTTGACGATTCTCTTATTTTAATACGCGCCTGAAACCCGAACAGCACTGTACAATTTAAAATATGTGATCATGAGCCGCAAACGCCTAAGCTTGTGGCTTGGGTATTTGGGTTAGCCCGTAATCCCTTACCCGCAGGAAATTCGTACGGAAATAGCCCGTAGATCATGCGACGGCACTGATTCGTCGCATGTTTTTTTCGCTCCCATACGCGATAAATTACTTTGTCGTTTTAATTGTTTGTTTACGATTAACGTTATATATAAATGTCCTTTTATATATAATGTTAAAAGAAATCGGTGACTAATATAATATAAGGGTTATAGAGAGACGGTTTAATTATAGGCTGGGTGGCGTTACATCTTATTCCTCAGAGGTGTTAACGCATTTATGCTTTTGTTTGAAGTAGGCTGCATTGTCCGTCAATTGTAGAAGCCATTTACCATCAGGTAGACTCTAAGTTTTTTTGTCTTTACAGTAATATAAAAATATGTTAAAATATAATGGTGGAAGTAGTAACTTCGTACTGTTAAAATAAAATAATATCGCGTATCTAAATGAATTAATTTTCACATCTGTACTAAGAAATTTATTATCCATCGCTTTATAATATCAACAAATATTGAAAATAATAAATCAGGGCCTATTAATTGAATTGAATAAATTTAATTGAATTAATGCAATAAAACCATTCCATAGTTATATTAACATTATTTTACAATTATTTCAAATAAAAAATGGCAGTTATTGAAGACTGCCGACAGAAGTGAAAATTTAAAACTATGAAATAACAGTATATTTCTCTTGGATTTGTTTGTCATATATATATTTATATATTAAAATTATTAATATATATAATAATATTTATTTATTTATTTATTTATTTATTCTCTCTTACATCTATCTTTACAGTTTCCTAATGCGATAGAGTAACTTATCCTAAGATTTAACAAAAATTATTACCTAAAATCAACAATAAGAATATAATAGAAGTAAATATATAATAAAAGTAAAAGCATTTCCTACCTAAATAAAATACTAACAAAAATTATTACCTACTAACAACAGATTATAAAAATAAAAAAATAAACAAAAAATTACATAAAAAACCTAGATTTAACTATAACTTATTACATATAATGTGACCTTCGTGAATTCACTCAGAGTACAACAAAATATGTCAATTTTATCTTGGACTCTGTTTAGTGTTCTGAGTGCGCGCGTGAGCGGCGCGTGCTGCAGCAAGTTAGTCCTCGCGCGCGGTACCGCCAGCAGCTGCGGCCGGCGTCTGCGATATACGTACCGGTCAAGGACTCGGAGTGCCAACTGATCCAGCACGTCTGTGTTATGTACTCTGCCTATCAGAACTGTGTACAAATAGCGTGCAAGAGTAAATTCCCTTCTAACCCTGATTTCATTGTAACCTACCATACCTAAAATGAACAATGTTGGATACATTAATGGATAGAGTGGATACACTCCATACAGTCGCATGTACAGGTATCTTAAAAAATTATTTTGTACTCGCTCCAGCATAAGAGTGTACTTGTTTTCGTGCGGCGACCAAATCATCGCATTGTATTCCATTTGGCTCCTAACCAGTGTATTATATAATGCAGTAATTGCGTAAATATTTGTGAAATTATTAACTGTGCGTAGTATGAAACCCAAACTTTTGTAAGCTTTTTTTACAACATTTAATGATGTGTTCACGAAAAAGTTAATCCTGTATTCATACCCACTCCTAAATCACGAACTTCCTTGACCCTAGTCATGGGTACACAGTCTTCTATCATATAATTATGTACAATAGGGTTGTGGCTACGAGAGAATGTAATTGTGACACATTTTGAGGTGTTAAGCTGCAAGTTGTTTTCCTTGCTCCACCTAGTCACCCTATCTATATCACTTTGTAGCCTCGTGCAATCCTCCTTACATACTATAGGTAGGTATAATTTAAAATCATCTGCAAATAATAGGCATTTTGCTTCTTGGACCATTTTGGGGAGATCATTTATCATTATTATGAACTCCAAAGGACCTAAATTACTACCCTGGCTTACTCCAGACCTCGTGAAATATGTGTCTGATCGGTATCCTGCATATTCTACATATTGCTGTCTGTCTGTCATGTAGCTAGCAAAGAAGTTGAGTAAGTGTGGTGTAAAACCAATGCCTGCTAGCTTTCTGAGTAGGATATCATTATCTACAAGGTCAAACGCTTTTTTGAAGTCGAAATAGACTGCGTCGACCTGCCCGCCCGCGTCCACCGTCGGTAACACGTCCGCCATATACGCAAGAAGATTACTGCTTGTACTTCTATTCGGCCGAAACCCGTGTTGTGAATCCGATAATTGTATACCCATTTGATGATATACGCTCTTCTGTATAGCTGACTCAAATATTTTTGCTGGAGTCGACAGGACTGCGATAGGTCTATTACCATCCAGGTTTCCTTTGGCACCAGCTTTCGGTACTGGTACTACCCTAGTCGTCTTCCATCTTTCCGGAAATACTGCTGCTCTCAGGGATTGGTTATATATATGAAGCAAAGGCTTAGCTAGAACAGATCGGCAGTCTCTAAATATATACGGTGGTATACCATCTGGTCCTGTCGATTTCTTTGGCTTAAGTTGTTTAAGGGCGTGCTGTACCTCACTGAGCTGTAACGCGCTAAGGTGTACGCGTGCTGCCGCGTTCTCACTGCCAGCCACCTGTATCGCTGAATTTACATCTAATTTAGCCTTACACGGACTGTACACCGAATAGAAGTAATTGGCTAACTCATGTACTGACTGTTCATTCGTCAGAAGTTCACCGTTTTTATACATTTTCCGAGGACTTCTATTGCTTTTTTTGGAGTTTATATACCTCCAGAAAGATATAGGGTTTTCCTGTAAATTACTTTGAACGATATGCTGATGGTGTGTATACGCTTCTCTTATGCTTTGTTTGACCTTAGCCCTAAATTGTGAAAAAACCTCGTAATCTAAACCTGATCTACTTTTCTTGTATACTTTATGAAGAGTAGCTTTTTGTTGTATTAATCGGATAACATCGGCGGTATACCACTCAGGATACACGTATTTAGACCTACTATAACATTGAATTTTTTTTGGAACACATTGTTCTAATATTTTATTAATAGACTCGTAGAAGTAATCTAAACTCATTTCTAAATTTAATTCATATATGGAAGACCAGTCTGTGGTCTCAATTAAATGATACAACAAAGGAAAGTTAGCTTTTTTTAAAAATGCCATTGCGGAGGTATTTTGGTGATGTTTGAAAATGTGTTTGACCTTGAATGCGCGATAGTGTCAGTGTGAGTAAGCGATCGCAAGCAGACAGTTACATCGAGCGGTGGATGTTGTACGTCGACCGGCACCAACGGCTGGGTCGCCCCGCTCACGCGCACACCATCTCCCCCGCTCCTCAACCGTGCTCAATACTAGATCTAGACATCTATCATTACAATTGTAAATATTGTTACTCTGAATGAACCCACAATAAGTTATAAAATATTCAAAATATTGATTTACACTAAGTGGACAAGAGTACATATTGAAATCTCCTAACACTAAAACCTTGTCGTAACTGTTACATAGCTGCTCAATTATTCTAAACATTACCATATATTCACATTCACTACTATTAGGCGGTATATAAACAGCGCACAACAAAAACAAAAACCGGTTTCGAAGGTAGACAGTAGCGCAAACTATTTCGAATATATGATTGTCAATGTTTACATTGTCAGGAATCGTAATTCGTCTCAGTTCGAAACGCGGTGTGGCCACTAAAAACGCGCCGCCTTGTTTGCGTCCATCTGTTCGGTCACACCGAATAATACTATGACCTGGTGGGACCAGCTCACCGTCGTAAATCGACTCATTACAACCTGTTTCCATAATGATGAATAAATCAGAATCAGATGAAGCAATAGCCAAATAGAAATCGCTTGTCTTCGTTCTAAGTCCTCTCACGTTCTGATAGTAAATTTGTATATTCTTACTATTTTTTGTCACTTTGTTGCTCACGGGTGTTTCGACGAAACCACACCCACTCGCAAAATTCAATATTTATAGGCCAGTGTTCTGGTTGGCATAATACGTTATATTTACTTTCAGGGAGTGCTATAATAAATGAAGAATAGTCTCTTTGAGTCTTATGTTTTATTTGGTCAATCTTTATGGGCACTTCATTTCCACAAATATTTTTAACATACTTTTTGTAGGCTTTCAATTGTGGTTTCTGTGTCTAACCGCCAAACATGCAGGTACCTTTTTCTCTCTGATCTCTTAATTTCAGTTGAATTCGTACTTTCTCCTTTTTTTACTTCATCGTTGGGATATCTCTTTTTCTTGTTTACCACCGTCCAATTACTAGTTTCCATTTTATTTTCTTTTTGAATAGTAATATCCGTTAGATCATTTTGTGAATCTATCACAATACATTGTTTGTGCACAATCGGCTCCGTGGGTTTCATGGCCACACTTTTATTATCCGCTGCCTTCTTTTGAGTTTGTTTCTTTGCAACATTTGCAAACGTTAAAACTGACTTTTCCGGCTGCTGGACTGCTGACTGCTGACTTTTCTCCATATTACAAATTGATTCTAGTTCTTCCTTTTTCTTTTCTAATATTTTAATATTAGCCTCTAAAAGATCTATTTTATTTACTTTTTCTTGAACTACCTCCAAAATCTTTTGTACTTTTTGTAATTCGTTTTCCGTAACAACAAATCTCTTTTGAAGTAGGTCGTACTCCTTTGCTTGTCTATCTAGTCGACAATTAAAATCATATCTCAACGCTCTTAACTTTTTCAGTATCTCATTTTCTACTACTATAGAATCAACGGTAGTCGGACCGCCGCCGCCACCTCGCTTGATATTGACGTAGCTAGGTGTAACTGGTTCCTTATTCACTTGCTTGGGTCCTCGTACTGGCGTGTTCAAATTACCACCTTTAGGGATAATGCTCGTGCACTCTGGGCATAGCCATTTACTTCCACTTTCCCCTGTGGTAGCCTCCAGCTTTTCCTTCCCCAATCCAAGACACGCAAGATGGTAAGATTTACCACAATTTTTCTCCGAACACTGCATCCTGAGATCATCACATATTACGGCATGGCAGCCGTCACATTTAGTGCCCATTTTTGGGCTCAAAACACTCAGAGTCACACACTTATTATTTATTTTTAATTCGATTGACTTGCAACACGTCCGTTCCGTACCGCGTGCTATTATATTAGTCTGATTTCCATATCTATAGGCACTCCGAGTAATAATTATATATATATATATATATATATATATATATATATATATATATATATATATATATATATATATATATATTTTATATGGTTTATTCATAAATCAATTCATATGATGGACTACGCAAGTCCAGTACAAAATATAAATACAACATAACTGACATAATAATTAATCTTTAAATATATAAGCAAAATACCACTGACTAACTCATCACGATATCTCTAAAAGTATACACACGATTGACTTGAAATTTAGTATTATTACTCATTTTGGAATATGGAAGCTCGCTAAGTACGGAATTTACCATAGTGCCATCAAAAAAAAAAAATAGGATCCGCAGCTTTTATTATGATAAACTGTTATTACATCATGTTAGTGACGCGAAATCAATTCAATAGTTTACATTCAAATAGCATATTATACGCGCAAAACGTTATACTCATAGTTATAGATATACTGTTAACATTAGCATGTCGGTGACGCGAACTCATAAGATTTTATCTGTTCAAAATAAGCATCAAGAAGTTTTCACTTAAACACACACACACACACACACACACACACACACACACACACACACACACACACACACACACACACAAACATGAAAGAAGTAATAGTCAACAATTGAAGGCTCTTAAAATTAATAAAAAACAAATTTATACCCATTATATGGGACAAACGACGAAAGCGCTCGAACGAAAAAAAATTCAATATTTTATTTGCATCAAACGAAGCATAAAACGACAGATTGCAAAGCGCACTGCAATTAAACGTTCTCCAGAGATTCTGTGCCTTGCTTTAATTAAACTTGGCCTGGTCAGGGCAAACAGCCGCGGCCGGGATATCGATTTAGTGTACGGTACGCTCGCTTAGCTGCTTTTCAAGTGGTTGAGCTCTCTTTACCGGCTTAATGCATTTGAAGAAACGTTTAAGTTACTCTGAATAACACTTTGCGAGGCAACTCTTAAGTATTTTTATAAAAAAATAATAGAACACTTTCGTTGAGTGCAGTTATTATGCTAACTAAGGCCCTTCACAAGTCCACTGCTGAACATAGACCTCCCCCAAGGAATGCCAAAACAAGCACAGTCCTGAGCCACCTGCATCCATCGACTTTCTGCATGTTGTCGTTTTTTTTAATCCTCTCTAGGTGGGGCTCGCCCTACACTTTGCCAACCGGTACGACGATGCCATTCGGGAATCTCTCTTCCTCATCAGTTGTTGGTACTTCTACTTAGCTATATGACCGGTCTATTGCCACTTCAGCTTACTAATCCTACTAATCCTTGGGCTATGTCGGTTACTCTAGTTCTATTGCTGATATCGTCATTTATACAAGAGATAAGCTGGGTATAATTTCGACAGTATCTTATATAAAACTGGTGATCTGCCCCGGTTTTGCGTGGATGATTTCTGGATGTCAACCAAAATGCCACCTACCGGGTTCTAGAGTTAAAAGCCATCCAGGACTCCATCCAAAATCAGTCAAGCTGCTTAGGGGGAGAAGAATTACAAACACACGCACACTCGAATTGTAAATACAGCATGTAACAAAAACCCCGGTTCCCTTTTAAGTGCGTTATCAGAATCAATATTCAAACGTATAGAAATAACTTTAGAAAATTCGAGTATAAAAAAATAATATTAGAATATATTTTTGTTTGCAAATTGTATATGGTTTTATTACAGTTAAGGGAGTTTTTGATAATACTTTTACACCCCGGCTAAGTCAGAAGTTTTGTTACATATTATATAAAGATATAGAACAATGTTACATACATTGTTTGTATTTTTTATTATCTCGGATCTTCCGAACGGTTGGATGAATTGAGGCAGTTAAGTTATATTCGTCTTAAAAACTCAGTCAAGTGGGGGATATCAAAATAAATGGAATTAAAAGGGGATTACAAATATATATGGTATATTTTTTCAATATATATATATATATATGATGACGGCGCTGTCGTCGCGCCGCAAGCGAAACATACCGAAAACCTAAAAAACTATCACGCTATCAACATTCCGAATCATAAACAGCTTATATATAACATCTTCGAACTATCATGGTGTCGACCGCTCCCTGGGCAGAACACCTTGCCGGGCGGGAGATCTCCCCTTTTCCTTCTACGGCCACAGTGGTGACCATCCGACGTGATCTGAACACGCAACCACACACCTTCGGAAACTACAACTTCAAGCCTTCGTCATTATCCTCAAGAACCCCTACCATTCACTACTGAGAATCGTCTTCTGCAGTCTTCAGTTCCTGCAAGCCAGTCCAACTTGTCTTCGTCTCGACTCACCGCAGATTTATAAGGCAGATTTCTAATCGTTCTCACCGGCATCACTTGCCAGTGCGTAGTACGGCATGCATTACACATCGCCATATTATTCGCACCGGTGTCACTTGCCCTTACGCACACAGCATGCATTCCCCACCGGCATTAAGGACGCACCGGCAATCGGACTGCACTATCGACCTCTGGTCTGAGCAGGGGGGTGATGTGGCGGCGCTGTCGTCTCGCCGCAAGCGAAACATACGGAAAACCTAAATCACGCTATCAACATTCCGAATCATAAACAGCTTATATAGAACATCTCCGGACTATCGCCTTTGATAGGAGTGTCGGCCGCTCCCCGGGCAGCCCAACACCTTGCCCGGCGGGAGATGTCCCCTTTTTCTATGGCCACATATATATATAAATACATATATAAATACGGTGGATTTCATTAGTTTGTTAAACCGAAGTAAAGTTTACTTTGTTTATAGTTTATTTTAATTTTATTTTCTATTATTAGTCTTGTTCCGGTGATTTTAGGCATCGACGCATGCCGACTCCGCCACTCGCTTAATGGCGGAGTCGGCATGGGTCGCCCCCGGAGGGAGTTTATCGGATATAAGAGATGGACCAAATTAAGTGCATGCAGATGTGTCAAGGTCGTGCGAAATCAAATTCCGTAATCTCTGGCAGGGTAGGCTGGATGGTATGTATAAAATATAAAAAACAATGAAGTAACAAATGATTCAGTCACATCGTTTAACAGCGCCTCAACTGCAATTACTTCTACTACATTTATTTTCATAGTTTCTGAATTAATATTTACTCTACGGTGCTCAATGTACTAGAAACGTGTATTATTATGTAGTTTTATCGTTACTGGTAAGAAAACTCTGAAGACTTTTTCGTTTATATAATATCATAAATTTGATTGGATTTTTGTATTTAGTCGTTTGGCTACGACTGCTGTAGGATCGCGTTTTCAAACTCCAAACGAAATAAGTGTATAAAAGTCCACAAGTTTTACGTAGTAGAGGCATACTGCAGCTATATTATGGTTTTGATAGGAATAAATCGGCTCGACTGGTAAAGGACCAAGCTCTGACATAAAACCAGTATAAAATAGCAGCTTAATGCCACTGCGTTTCGTATGGTAAGTGTAGACATCCGAAAATCCTTTGTTTCCGAAAACGAGGCATTCATTCCGTCGTAGTTCTCAGGGTCGACAACGTATCTGCATTTTGATTCTTATTCGAGGATAGACGTAAATGTCTATGTGTATAGGCCACAACAACTACTTATCATCAGGTGAATTGTGTGCTCGTTTGTTTCAGTTATTCTATAAATAAATATTGTTCAACGTCAGGATGTTTGCTTATGTGCGATTCATGTGTCAAAACAAAACAAAACAAAGCATCAGCCATTTATAGAAGTTAACTTAATACTAAAACGATTTTTCACAGTAGTCCACTTGAATTTATGATGCTGATCAGCTCCAAATTTTTAATAATCTTTTTTCAGTACATCACAGAACGTACTTCAGTTACATATGAGTGTGTTGTCGTTTAGCATTTCGTTTATACTAGCTCCGGTCTGACCAACATTTAACAAATTAATTTTGTTTTCTTACATTGAAGAAATAAATATATCTCATTTCATTTCATTACATGTAAATTATTTTAAGAAATGAACTACTAAGACAAAATAGTTGGAACCTCCTGACTATATTTTATTAGGTCAGCCATGATAAAGTAATTAAAATTAAGGTATTGTTTGTAATCAAAAATGAGTTTTGTTAGATTTTATCCAACCTTCTGATTCTTGATAAATTATTAAAAGTCAATGACTAATATTGGGCCTATGTAAAGACATATTATATAAGAATAATGTATCACAGAACGAAGGCTACTGTTGTAACTAATAAAATAAATAAATATTTTATGACCTAGGATTACCCCATTTATCATAGAAATACCTGTGTTATTTAGGTAAATTTCTATTAAATTTATAACAAAATCTGCGGCTTTAACTGTACTACCCATTGTCAATATGTTTTTTCCTAAAATAACTTCGATAAAGGTTTTTTTTTAAATAAAAGCGAAATTAAACATTTTTAAAAACTTCTACCAATAAAGAAAAGGAAGTTAATAACGAAAGATAAAAGTAAAAAAGTGTTTTAAAAGAGTTGATTTATAGCGAATTCTGTCATACTCGTATAAACAACTATTTATGACTTTCCTTGGTCCTTCCTATTTTGTGTACTTATTTGTTTGTCGCAGATATAAAAACAAGCATATTATCATATTTAAACACTACACATATTCACCTACCTCATAACAGAATAATAAACCCAAGAAAATCTTTCAAAGCTGCTTTTGCCATCTCTGTTCCCAATAT